AAAATTATCGATGATACTACATGGATTAATTAGTATATTAATTAGTGTACTAATACTAGTTATGACATTATTATTGACCACACTCATTATACAAATTACAAATATCAAAAAAAAATTTAAATTATGCTACATCATCAATTAGTATACTAATTAATACATATAATATTATTCCAAAACTATTTACTTAAAAAGGGACTAGTTTCAAAGTTCAAAATTTAAGAGATATAATTTATTTTTGTCAAAAAAAAGGGGAATTTTGACACTTGGGTTACCACATACAGCATTGTGCTAACTTTCTGTGATGTGCAAATCAAATATAGTGCTTTTGAACAAAGCTGCCTATTGGCCCACCAACTATTGAACGCTTCACTTTGATTTCTCTTCATTCATCATAACAAAATTGAGAGGTATAAAGATAAAGTACATGGTGCACCTCTGTGATGTGCATATATATATATATATATATTCTTTATTTTTTTTTTATCAAATTTATCGTGATATTATGAAAATTACATCAAAGTAAACATTCAATATGAAATAAAGACGTCCAACACATAATTATAAATATACTACAAATATGAGAAAGATTTCAAATAAATATAATAGGAAAAGTTCATTGTGTTATGCATATAATTAATAATGTTATAAATACTAACTAGTGTGCTAACAATCATACTAACTACACACAATGTTAAATGGGTTCTTCGTCAAATGATGGATTGCACATGAATAATGTTATATGTACCAATTGATATACCAATCAGTGTACTAACAGATAATATGCCATAATTTTAAAAGTTTTGAGTCTTTCTAATTTGTATAATGGATGGAATCGTAATTTTAAAATGATAATGTCATAACATATGTTGGTACGCTAATTGGTACATTAATTAGTGCATATAGCACCACCGATCCCACATACATGTTTTGTATCTTAGTTGATATGTTTATTGATATATTAGTTAGTATTTTTAGCATTATTGACCTACAATATTCCAGGTAAACTAATGAAATTTTGGTATAAATTTGCAATGCCTTTTTTTTTTTTTCCTTTTTTTTTTTTTTTAGTTACAAGAAAATCCTCACATCTTCCGATAGGTCCAAGAAAGCGCCCATGACGAGATCACCAATGTGTCTTATTGTTTATTTCAGACGAGAGACTATAACTTGAGAGTTTGCATCAACCCCTCAACACAAACCTCATTTAAGTTAATACTCGAATAGTGAAGAGTAGTCAAACCCACGCCAATTTGCTTCGCAACAGCACCTTGAGACTTTCCCCCCAAGCCAACTAAGGCTTTCCCCCCAAGCCAATTGCGCTACCGGCCAAGGGGTTAAAATGTTCATAATGTTCAAGGGGACAAATCACTTTTGAAAGAAAACCACATAATCAGATAGTGAGAAAAACATCCCATAACGGCATCATTTTGTTTTTGTTTTTGTGACTAGTAACCTTCCCAAGATATGACCTTTTGGGCATTCTCTTGCAAAACAAATTTTAGATATTTACAGTCACTTGTAAATCACAAATATTAGTTAAATTTAAAAAATAATTAATCAGTATCAAACCTAAGATATTCAAGTTTACATCTCCTGTCTCAAAGTTTTTTCCCCGTAACTGCTGGATTATCCGTACGAATTTTCACATCATATGGTAAAAAATGGAAACATCACACATGCCACATTGTTTATAACCCTGTGAAGTCACAAGGAAATGCCCCATTAACTAAGAAAAAGAGAATTTGTTTTATGGGATTGGATTGCCGCCTATTGAGATTCTATGGATCCCATTTCAATGATTCAATCATTTTATTTTGTAGGATATTTCGTGTATATCATTCACAAAAAAAATTAGACCAATATAATAATTGTATATTCAATTTATTGCATTTGTCACCGAAAAGATAAATAATCTATTTTTAAAAATATATTTGTCTTCTATTTTTTTTAAGACAAATGTGATAAACTAAATGGGCTATGATTATAAAAACGACTTAATTTTTTGTGTAAATAATATACATGAATAGTCCTACACAATGAATTATTTAAATTATCAAAACGGATCTGTGATAAACCTCACGAATACAGACATCACCCTCCAATTCACACCTTAGAGGGAAGCCCAGGCCTTATTTTATACATTACCATGGTTATTTGTTTTATCCTTCTTTATAATTAAGGGAGGTGAGGTGCCTCTATGCCAAATAAATTAATTAATTAAAATTAAAATTACAGCTAGAAAAGCCCATAACATATCTTGATCAACTAACAAAAGAGGGGAACCAAATGGATCAATGCAAAATTGTAGTGATTATTATCATTCAACCATTTTTTCAATTTTGCAATATATAAAGAGGACGAAAGGTATGGATCGGATTTTGCACCACTAAGAGGTTTGGTGAGAAGTCACATTCATCATATCTTTGATTGGATTTGTCTGTGTAAAGGCTGTGACTCTGTGCATTCACCATAGGATATATTAGTAGCGTTTGGAATACAAAAGATTTTAAACACAAAATACACAGATATTAAGTAAAAAATATTTATATTTGTATTTACGAATGGAGGCAAATATATGTGTCATATTTGTGCATTCTATGCAAAAACTTTTTGTGTTCTCAGCATTTCATATATTATAAAGCACCATTTCAAGTGCAAGTACTGGATTTCCAACAGTACAACCATTTAAAGCTTCATCACATAGTTTATATTTGTCTTTTGCGCAATATTATTAAAATTATAAACCTTGTTTAGAATTTATTTCTTGGTGTCTGGGCTTCATAACACTATTAGAATAAACAATTGCTTGGATGAATGAATGCAAAAGCAATGACCACTTTAGAAATTCTTTTCAGAGACATTCCAAATACATTAGCACTAAATATAAACAAATAAATATTTGTTATTGGGAGCCTAAAGAAACCCACTAACCTAGTTGCAATTTTGCACAAAACTTGCAATGCAAAAGAAGGAAGAAGGAAAATACATTAGGTCATTTAGTCTATCTCTTAATGTTCTCAAGAATTTTTTTAAAAAAAATTATTGTCAAAAGGGCTTGTTTGGTTTGTGTTTGTAGAATAATTTTTGAGATAAAAAATACGAAAACTTGTTTGGTTTGTCTTTTTTCAAAAATAATTTTGAAAAATTGTTTTGGGCAGAGAATTTTAAAATAAGTGATTGATTTAATGTGTATGAGAGAAATATTGATTTTGAAAAATAGGTAACCAAACAAAATTTTGAAATTTTTTTTGAAAAAATTTGTTTGGTTTGATTATTCTTGAAAATTTGTTTGCAGAAAATTTTTTTCAAAATTTTTTTTGAAAAACAAACCAAACCATTTTTCGAGGTCTAATAAAATAAAATAAAATCTCATTTTAATATTTAGTTCGAAATCTTAAAAAATCTGAAATCACTACTATTTATATATACACCATATGTAGTTTCTGGAATTTTTTTTTTTTGGGTATAGGTGGGGTGTGCGTGGTGTGGTTCGGACGGTTTGAGAGTAAAATTATAAACCGAATGGCGGGTGAGCGGATTGACAAATTACGATTTGGGCGATTTTTGGCGGATTGAACAATATTTTAACTAATTATCATACATTTGCATAATATATAACACTAATTTGTATAATATTTTTTAAATATATAACACAAAGTAATTTTACATAACATGTTTCATATATATAACCACTAATTTTTAATAAATTTAATATCTTAAATCTCTTTCATACTCATTTTTACATTGATATTTCATTAGAAATTAAAAAATATATATGTATTAACTACAATGGAGCAGAACGGTTCGGTTGACGGATTGTAAATTTTAAAATTTAAACCGCGGTTAGACGTTAGAGCGGTGCGGATTGATGCGGATCGATGCGGATGCGGTTTTAACGGATTGGGCGATATTTTACACAGCCCTAGGTATAGGTATAATGTCCAAAAATAAGATAAGCCAATAGAAAACAAAAGAGGATGGGTATAAAGCGGAGTAAACTTTGAGTATAACAGTGATATTATGTGACTAATCACAGGGAAATCTTAGTAGGGTTAGTGCGAGAAAATTATTAGATATTCCTAAAGTAACAATACATACTGAGTGAATCATTTGTTTCTCTCTCAACTATTCAACAAATACGAGTTAGTAAGTATATCTCACTTTTAAAATTTACTATAACATTACAAAATAATTACTCTAGTGACCGATAAAAGGTATTATACATATACTCAAAACAATGTACAGTTCCTTGTACAGTTTCATAACAGATTTCTCTGCGCATCTTGGTAAAAACAAAACCAAGATTTTTAAATCAACCAAGTTATTTGGATTCACTTCATATTCAACTCTTTAAGAACTTAATTGAAATTGTCTCATTATATTATAAACAAACCAAACTTACATTTTTACAACATACAGCCTAGCTCAACTCAATTAAAAGTTCGAAATCAAATTTTAAAAAAAAAAAATGAACCAAATTTAACACACCTTAAAAACTATTAAATTTTCATATCAAACTCAAAAGTTAAATAATTCGAGTCGTCTCTAGCACAATGATTAACTCACCCCACCGACTAATGAAGACCAGAGTTATAAAACCAGAATTGTCCCTTCAATTCCTGTCCCACACTACTTATGCACTAAATAACCCACAATTGTCCCTTCAATTCTCGTCCCAGACTACTAGTGCACTAAAATGCGAGACACTATTGAGGGTTTTACAAAAAGTGCAGGTGGTGCTCTAAATTTATAGTTACTCATCTAAACTGCAAGACCTACAGGTTGTGTGTGTTGAAAAGAAACAATGCAATGTGACGATTAGCAAATGGAATGAAACATTGCTCCAAGAGCACTAAATAATTTCTCATAAAATGATGTGTACTGATAGGATAATAATATATCTCAACTTGCTTTTCCAAAGCAAACATAAAAATTAAGTTAAAAGAGCATATCAGCTGGCCCAACATCTTTACTACATTCAAGAATTATACATAATCAACTAGAGGCCTCTCCAAAACAAAAGCCACCACTAAATGATAAACATATGAATATAACAGCAAGAAAGGGGGGCTAAGGTTCACAGTCTTGTCATCATATGGCAAAGATACTGAGGAAATCATAAAGTAAACAGGATTTAAATTCTGAAATAAAGATCTTTCAATATCTGATATTCTAAAATTCTCAAACCCAAACAATATCAAAGAAAGCACAAATTGACAACTAACTCACCAACAAATTTTCAAAACTTGGATTGTGTCTTGCCACTCTTCATCTATCTTTCAACAAATGATCAAGAGAGAGTTACACAAACAAGTTGGGCCTGGATGCCTTGTATGTGGTCTTCAGCTTCCTAGATGGTGGCCTGACCTTTTTGAACACCAAGGGGAACTTGATTTTGGAATTGTGGAACTGCTTGGTGCTCTCCCTCTTGCAAAGCTTGGCTGGGATGGTAGCAGTTTTAATGATCTGGATGCAATGGTAACGGACCCTGTGGCGGGAAGCCATCTCAGTGTACATCTGCTCAACAGCACCATTCAGTGTGGTATCACGGTACTCCTTGTACATGTTGTGATACCCAGTTCGACTTTGATACCGCAGCCAGATACCATAATTCTTGATCTTGGTTGGGTTCTTCTCAAAAATCTACAAGTAGGTCAAGTTAAATACCATGAGAAAATTATTCATAACCATGGAAACTCAAGCAGAAATGGTAGAATTGACAAAATACAAAAGATGGTTTATTCTGCTCAGAAATCTCATGTTCCAACACTATTTATCCAACTACTTCAGCCAATGTCATAAAACACCCAAATGTAGTACGTATTATGTAAAGACACAATGAGCTATTATCATCATTGAGCTTCTTCAGGTCTCAAATAAAAGCAATAGAAAGCAAATTAAATAATTTCTAACTGCACAAATCTACTGAACAAACAACTCATTAGATAAGATGCTTATTTGTTTTTTGCCTTGATCTTTCTTTACACTTAATATAGCAGACAGCCAAATGGATGCCAAATGCACAAGTAATTCTAGTCTCATCCTCTCTGTAAAGAATAAATCATCACAATAGCATGCTCAAAGAACCACAAAACCACATCCAAATATTTAGTTCAAGTAATGATATCACCAAATTCAACACCTATTTTTAACAATTAATATATAAATGGGCAGCAAAACAACTTGCTTACCAAAGATGTTCAACTTTAGAAACATGGTCATAATAATAGACAAACAATGTATCACAAAAGGAAAGATTCATCAGTTTTAATTAAGGGGTTTGAGCAGGTACTATAGAACATCAAAAAGTGATCTTTTTTTTATCAGGATCAAAAGTGATCTAACCACTCCAAAATACCACGATGTCAACAACTTCGAAACAACAATCATGGCTATAGACTTCAAAGATCTGAAGAATGAGTACGAGTGGCGGTAGATCCAACTAAATTTAAAAAAAAAAAAAAAAATCAACTTATATTGACTTTCATTATTGGATCTCCTTTACCGCCTTAAAAAGCAAACTTGTCATGCAATCAAGATAGAAAATTCAACCATTGATATTTGGTATAAAATAAATCTACAAAATAGAGGCTCAGAAAGAGTAGATGATTTGTGCCATGTCAATCATCCACAAGGTTCTGAAAAGCGGTTGCGGTCGTCGTAACAGTGGCGGTGGGGCGGTTGCGGGGTGTAAGACCGTAACGTAACGGTTGCGGTAACTGGAACCGTGAATTTTTTTATTTTTTGCACAATTTGAAAAAAACTTACCGATACGCATATTTTTTTTCCAGAATCATATTTATTGAGTTTTAAAATAAATATTGATAAATTTTTATAAATTTTTAAGTATCATCCAATATATTTCATATTTTTAAATCACTATAAACTGAATTTTTTACATTTTATTTTAATAATTAATGATTTTATATGTCATAAATCCATATTACATTTGTGACAAAAAAAATAAAAAATTATTGGAATTAGACGTATAAAATTATTTTTTTAATTATTATACTTGTGGAAACATATTCAAATTTTAACTTGAATAGTTTTAAAAAAATAAATTAGACATGCTAATGTAATCATATAAAAATTATAAAGATTTTTTTTTTTTTGGTTTGGATCACTTGAATATTCATTCTCTTTTTGGATAACCTGTAAATAAAAATAAAATAAAATAATCAAAAAAAATTGACATGTATATTTTATAAAAAAAGCAAATGTATTAATATATAATTATAGGTGTTATGTTTTCTAGATATTTTACAAAAAAATCAATCACTAACTATTATATATAAGATAAACAATGATAAAAGCAAGAGAATAAATAAGAGCCTAAAAATATATATATATATTCAAGCCAAATAGATAATGACCATACTTAGGTCTCGTTTGGCAAGTGGCTATTTTAGCCAATAAGTCAAAAAGTCACTAAAAAAATCAAAAAGCCAACAACCCATACCAAAAAGTCAAAGATTTCCTTTTCTGTCTACTTTTTGCACATCTTTTTGTAAAAAGCCAAAAAATCATCACAAACATACTAGTTTTTTTTATATCACATTTTAGCCAAAAACCAAAAAGTTGCTAAAAAAATCTATTTCTAAACAAGGCCTTATTATTATTATTATTATTTTTAAACAATATATAGATAAACACACAAACAAACAAAATGGTTAAGTGATAGCAACTGAACAGAATAGCATAGTTTTTACAGCTTTAACAAATCAATAAAATGTTCATCTTCCCTCTTCTCTCTCTATCTCTTGCTCCTCCAACTTCCCTCTTCATCTTCCCTCTTCTCTCTCTATCCCCCTTTCTCCATTTTCAGTTTTTTTTTTTTGTGTTTTTTCGAAAGAAACAGTTTGGAACCGTTACGTAACAGTGCATAACAGGCCGTTACGGTTGTTATTTGCTAAAAAAGTCTGTTCCTAAACAAGGCCTTATTATTATTATTATTATTTTTAAACAATATATAGATAAACACACAAACAAAATGGCTAAGTGATAGCAACTGAACAGAATAGCATAGGTTTTACAGCTTTAACAAATCAATAAAATGTTCATCTTCCCTCTTCTCTCTCTATCTCTTGCTCCTCCAACTTCCCTCTTCATCTTCTCTCTTCTCTCTCTATCCCCCTTTCTCCATTTTCAGTTTTTTTTTTTTGTGTTTTTTCGAAAGAAACAGTTTGGAACCGTTACGTAACAGTGCATAACAGGCCGTTACTGCCGCTACCGCACCATTACGACCGCTACGGCCAACACACCTGTGAATTTCAATCACACTGCAAAAGCGGCCGTAACGGATAGCGGTAACCACCAAACTGTTACGTAAACGTAACGGTTGCCGCCGCTTTTTAAAACCTTGATCATCCATCACTAGATTTCGCAGAAAGAAAAGAACATAGATAAGACAAAAAATACAAGTAACCACTCACATTTGGACCAAGGCCAAAAACAAGGCATCTTCCTTGTATGATGTATATAATAAGTAATGAAGAGGTAAACAAGATGTCCTCAAAGACTTCCTCAAAAACAAGACCATAATTATCATACTATTGGCTAAAAAGTTGGAAACCAAAATGAAAAGCCAGTGTCAAAGTAGTAATGGCATTTGGGACTGCCCACAGGTGACTTGGTTGAAAAAATAAATTAGATCTTTTAACAATTACATAGCAGCGTTTGGGTGGCCTGGTGCACTCTAATAAATAACCAAAGCCTTTTGTAGTAAGGTGTTCTCCCAGCACAACTAGTGTTTTAACGAGTGTCCGCTTGAATAAACACATCTGTGTCTGATTACAGGTTTTATGTTCACCACACAAATGAATAATGAAAAAAGAGGACCTCTATTGTCTATTCAATGAATTGTCCCCAAACATCATGCAATACAGGGTAAATGCAAACGACTACCATTACTTCATTAACAAATGCAGCGCAGCATAAGGTTTGTTATTGAAAATTGTCAGAATAAGCCATTGGAGATAATGCATTTTAGTATAGAATTGTCTTTCCATGGACAGCACATAATGAGAGTGAAAACAGAAAACTGAAAGACTCAAACCCAATTATAGATTAAAACACAACTATAAACATAGAATGATTCAATTAAGTGGCATAGAACATACAAGCCTAGATAACAATCTATCTGATTGAATGCTTAAATTGATGTTACTTTTGTTACCCAGAACCAACAAACTAACTAATAGGCATTAGGCATATGCTAACCACTAATCAAAACATGAATTGATTATATTCAAAACCCTAGAAAGTATTTTACTATATGAGATAGATATACCTCATTGATCGCAAGCATTTGACCATTGCTTTTCTTGACCTTCTTAAGCTTTCTCAAAAAATACCTTAGAAATTTTTAACCAACATTCAATTAGAATAACAACCCAAATAGAAATCCGGATTGAAAACACCATAATCAAACTCATACATACCAGAACTTGGACTTGGCCCGAACCTCATTGGTAGCCCAGAGCTTCATGCGGTAGATCTTCGGATGCTCATCGGTCTCCGTAGGAAGAGCTCTCCCTACAACCTGATACTGATGAATCTGCACACAAAGAAACAATCGAACAGTTCAAAACCCTAAATCAAATCACATACAAAAGACGAATTTGATCAAAGTGACAGAGATCTCATAGATATTTTGAGTGGATTGAAAACAGAGATAGCCCTGAGAAACGAAGAAGAGAAGCTCAACTTACCCTGTAAGTCACCATTTCTGAAGAGCTCTCTGTCTCTCTCTCCCTCTCTCCGAGTGTGTGTGAGGCGTTGGAGAAGCGATTCTAGGGTTTTGTTTCGGTTATATATGAGGGGAGGCTGAGAGATGAAAACACTAGGTCTTGAGAAAATATGAAAAATACATTTCTACCCCAAACTTAGGTCAAAATGGTACATTTTCTCCAATTACTTTCAAAAGTTGAAGGGGAAAAAAAATTTGATGATTAGGTCTCGAGGTCAATTTACGCACATTTTGGTTAATTCTGAGACTCACATAAAGCGACTCTCCATATAGATTGACCAAATCTTGAGCAGAGTTTACAGTCATAGCTCCAAAGAATATACTTAATACAAGTTGAACATAACACATAAAAAAGGTATACCCCCAAACCTCAAGTTATACGAACTAAGCCAATCCCTTGGGTTCCATTTGTTTAGAAAAAAGCGAATGATAAAAAGTAAAAATGGTAGAGGGTGAAGTAAATGAAGGGAAAAAGAAACGAAAATTTAGAAAATGATGGAAAAAAACATGATCACCGCAAAATAGGGAGTTGTAGAAATAAACATAGGCAAAAAAGAAAGCAAAATGAGCATTGTCAAATTTTGTAAGAAAAAATAATTTTTCCTATATATTTTATAAGAAATCATAAGTCTAACTAACAAGCTAATTTGAATTATATATAAAATTTTAATTTTCATTATTTTCTAGAACTCTATCAAAACAAACACATAAGAAATCAAATAAAAATTTTTAAAAAAAATTTCACTTTATTGTATTCTCTATCTAACCAAACGAAACCTTGACGTTAATTTGCTTAAAATATTTTAAGTATTTACTAAAAACAAAACAAAAAAAATACAAAAACCAAAAATTCAATTTTAAAAGAAAAACAATCTAAATCAAATTTTCAAAAAAATCAATCTAAACCAAAAATTTGCTTAAAATAGTTCGACCCCTTCTTGTTTAAACTGCTCAAATTTTCCTTATAGGTAATTGTAAAAGTTCAATTATTTCTTCTTTTAATGTATGCTCAAGTTTTCTCCTTTCGGAGCATCTCTAATTGTTAATCAGATATTTCATCAAATTTGAATAAAAATTTGAGTAAAAGTTCAATATGATACGATGCATTCCAATCCTTTTATCAAATCTAGCCTGCTAGTCGTTCGCCTAGAATAAATTTTCATCAAATTCTTTCCAAAATCGATTGTTTGGGTGGGAAGATTTCTAGCCCAACAGTCACTTACAAATTTAATGAAAGGATAAACGCTCTCTTCAGTTGATAAAAAAAAGTAACGTTTCTTTCATTGGATACCAGACTGATGAAACAGTTGAAGTGCTATTTTTATCAGTTATTTGATGAAAGATCTGATAAAAGATTAGAGATGGTCTTAGTGATGAAAAGTGACCTAAAACAATTCATGTAACTATCACATGAGTTAAAATATTCATCTTAATGACAATTTTGTCATATGGAAAAATCACCCTGTTTAGTACCACTATCGCCAATTGATATCAAAATGTATTCATTTCAGAGTACCACAAAAAAAGTTACCAAAGGGTATAGTTCAAATCAACAAAACAAACTAATTAATTAACAAATCTAATTAATGAAATGTTCTAGCAATGTGAAGCAGACATAAATGATTTCACATTGTGTTGAATTGAAGAGTGAGATAATAATTTTGCTTCACCAGCAATATGAAGCAAACATAAATGAAAAAGAAACATAACTATATATTCAATTTTCCATACAATTCACTCACTGTCTTCACTATTTGATATCTGATAGTAAAGAAATTATAGCATACAATTTAATGAAACAAAATTAGGACAAAAAAATTAGGGTAAAATTATTTATTCCATTAAAATCTAATAGTTTGAGATAGAAAAATTAGGGCAAAATTATTTATTTCATTATTTAGGCCAACTATACATGTATATGTTTTAATTCATTTTTTCTTTTTTTTTTTGATTGGGTCTAACGACTTTTGTGATTAAATTTTTTTTTTAATTGAACCTAACAGATTTTTTTGGAACCCTTTAAACTGGTCCTAAATCAACAAAAACAAATTGGGCCTATTTAAATTTTAGGGTAAACTACTAATATGTCCTAATAGTTGGACTTAATTCACATGAAGTCTATAGCGATCCCGGATTTTTACCCGGCTTTTATGGTGTTCCGGACTCGGGTCTTGTGTTTTAATGTTGTTATTTATGTCTTTTCCCCCTCTTACTCTTTGAATTTGAGTTTTGGAATGTCTTGGGCGTGTTTAGAACAAATTGGTTACTAGTTGGTCTAGAACCTTGTTGTCCAGAATTTTAGTCTTCCGCTTGAGTGCACTCGAACGAACCTTCTTGCGCTCGAGCAGGTTTTGCAAACATTCAGTACTTTGCACATCTATAAAAAAAAATGCTGGAGAAGTGTTTTTCACGCTCGAGCGGGACTGCGCTGGAGCGTCTGTTTGAGGTCTATAAAAATACTGAAAGATTGTATTCTACGCTCGAGCGGGTCTTCATGCACTCGAGCGGGTAGTGCCTTGTTGTTGTGTCTTGGCGCTCAAGCGGCATTTCTTGCGCTCAAGCGGGACAAATTTATGTGTCTGACGCTTGAGCGTCAAAATCTCCGCTCGAGCGGACTGTGCTTATATCAAATCGCGAAAGTAACTTTTTATATCACTTTTTCGGTTCTCTCTCTCTCTCTCTCTAAAACTCTCCCAAAAGCTAGATTTAGACATTCTCTCTTTAAAACTCTCATTCTCTCTACATTTTGACCTAGTTCTATTGATTTCTCCACCCTACTCCCTTTGATAAAAAGTTGGAGCATTCTAAGATCTACATTTTGATTCGAGTAAAGTCAAGTTTGGGCATCTTTGTGCTCTCTTCACTTCTTCTTTAAGCTTCTACACTTGAAGTAGGGAGTTTCTCTTTAATATGATTTTTAACTTAATTATTTGTCTAATGTGTAACAATGGTGGGTTTGGGAGTATTTTGAAACACCATCCTAGGGTTTGGGTAAAATGTGAAATAGGGGTTTTTGGTAAAAATGAAACAAATGATTATGGGGTTTGAAAATAAAGCCTTGTTGTATCAAAACAGTTGGTTTTGGTGCTCAGTTGAGATTTGAGAAAAATAGGAAATTTACCCTAAAATGAGTATTATATTTATTTTGTATAAATAAATGAAATTGATGTTGTAAACATGGAATTGGACAAGTATGACATAGATGATGTGTCTCATTTTTGGGAATTTGGAATAAATGATCTGTCTTGAGAATATTTATATATGTATATCTATTTAGAAATATTTGTATTGGGCTATCGATGGAGGATAACTTTGATTGTTGTAAAGATTGGATATGGATTAGGTGAATTGAAATTATCCCATGGTTGATTATCATTGAATATGATCATACTGTAAATACATTGTATATGTATGTTTATTTGGGAGTGGAAAGGGAATGTACACCATGTATGATTATATGTTTATATACACTGCATATGTATGTTTGTTTGGGAGGAGAAAGGGGATGGACTCCATTATAATTAAGTTGGCCGGAGTGTCCTGGGTGAAAGTCCCGAAATCTATACATGGGTGTCGATCCCACGAACGAAATATCCGTAAAATGGCAAGTTGAAATTATACATGGGTGCTGATCCTGCGGACAAAATATCCGTAAAATGAAAATTGGGAGTGTCAATGTTGTGATTATGAAATCGTTAAACCATTGAGTTGTAATCTCATTTGGGTGGTTGAAAAATAATGGAATTGATTCATGCATCAAAATGAATTGAGGGAAAATGAAATAGAATATGGAATTGATGTTTGTGATTACATATATATATATGAGAGTATGAATGTTTATCCCGATCACTGTGTACGCATAAGTACTTATATCTTCATTAAACCTCATATACTGTGTGAGATTATTCTTACTAGGATGTGGTTTACCTTATTTGGGAAAACATTTTCAGGTAATGATGGCATACCTCCACCAAGGCAATAGCATTGGAGGGTTATTTGGGAAGCAAGAGGACTTCTTGTTTTGTTTCACATTTTGTATAGTCTAGGGCTTTAATTGTAAGGGCTAGTCCCACTGTTGTTGTAACCAAGTTAAGACTTGGAAAGGTGTAAGTCCGAAGGGCATTTATTTATGTTAAACTCTCTTGTAATAATAACTTCATGTAATGAGAGAACAGTTTACTCTGATGTATATTGTCTTCTACATATATACTTATGGGTTATATTTATGATTATATTTTAAGGGCGTTGCAAAGTCCTATTGAAAATAAGTCGTAATAAAATTGTCGTTAAAAATAATTTTTTGTGACATTGTTTTACATATGTTGCTAAAAATTGACAATTAATGACTTTTTTCATGATTTTTATAAATTATCACTAAAACTTACAATTAGTGACAATTTTCTATGAAAAAATTTTCAAATTGTCGCTGAATGTTAAAATTTAGTCATTTTTTTGTGACTATTTTTTTAAACTATCGCTAAAATTTATAATTAGTGACATTTTTTATGACAAAAATTTTAAATTGTCGCTAAAAATAAACAATTAGTGACTTTTTTAATAGTGTTTAATGAAAAATGCCATTAATTATTATAACACCTATTGGATAATAAGTCCATTTATTAGGATTTATACATAAGTTCTCCTAAATTTTAAATATACTACTAATGAATTTAGAGGCCCTATTTTTGGGTCAAATTTTGAAGTCTAAAGCACAAACTTTAGTGGCCTTAGCTCAAGGCCGACCTAGAAGTCATGATTGTTAACATAAGTAAAAAAATGATGAAACTAGAAAGAGAAAAAAATTGAAAATTATAGTGAGGTCATTTCAAATATTTTGAAAATATTTGAGATGTCAAGACATAAATCAATTTATGATAGAATCTTAACCTTGCCAAAATTGAAGTTAGTGTAATAATGCTAAAATTGTGAAATTTATTGTATTTTATCAAAACCTCAACTAGTTGTCAACGATCGCAAATAGTGGTCGGATAGTTGTTAGCCGCACTAGGTGGTCATTATAGGTTGTTGACTGTTAAAAGTAATTGGCGATGACCAAAGATGGTTATCAGTCATGGGAAGCGGTTTTTGACGAGCAGAGGTGGTGGTTGGCCACAGGAGGAT